AAATCTCTGTAAATGTTCATTAAAACTAATAAAATTTAATAAAAAAAAAGAAACACAGATAAGAATTAGATCAGTTCACCCCGATGTTTATCATGGCTTTGTTTCCAGTAGCAAGGAGTTGGAAACAACCTAAGTGCCCATCAACAAAGGAGTGAATAGAGAAGCTGTGGTATATTCACACAATGGAATACTATGCTGCATTGAAAAACAAGGAACTCATACAATATTATTCAAAATGCGTGACCCTGGAGGACATTATGCTGAGTGAAGTATCTCAGTCACAAAAGGACAAATACTGCATGGTGCCATTGTTGTAAAGCAGGACTGACCTTGGAGTTGGGAGGAGACTGAGAAGAATGGGGTCAATAATGTATACTGCATTGAAATAGATGAGGGAGAAAACTGTTTAAGAGGGAAAATTATTAGGTATTTTTGGCATGACAGGAGTCCAAAGCAAAGGCTGTACAGTGGAGTGGACCTGGGGGTAGAGATTGTAAATAATGAAAGAATTTTTCTTTTACTTTTCGAAGAGGGTAGTGTACTGGGGGGAGGGTTGGGAGGGGAGAAAAGTGCAACAATGAATGAATGGAAATCCAAAGTCTCTGTAAATTTTCATTGAAATTAATAATAAATTTTAAAAAATGTAAAAAAAATAACAACAACAACAACAAAAAAGAATTGGATCAGTTCACTACCTTTCAGGAGCTTATAGCCAGTGGGCATCTAAGTCTTGCTATTATTAATAACATTTCCTGAATAAGATGTGAGGAGGATGAGGGTGGCTGCATTAATTTCCTAGAGGGACTATATTAAATGTGTGGCCTTAACAAATTTATTCTCTCATTTCTAGTATAGATTGCATTCTATCGCATTAACATAATAAAGATTAAGATTTATTACACGTAGAATAAAATACACCAGATCACTAAAAGGAGTATAAATGCATCATACCACGAAGTGGAGGAGAATTACACAACATTGACAATCACAGCCTGGCCAAGTTGACATCTAAAAAAAAAATTTTTTTTTGTGGGGGGAATGACATATTTATCCATAGCTATGGAAGACTTAAAAAGGGGTACAACTAGTCTGTTTATTGCCTAACTGGAATAGCACTGTCATAATATCTATTTATGAATGGCTCTGACACTAAATAATGAAATACATGAGCATATTTACACTTCTCCAGTATGGGTATATAATCGGAAAAACATTACTCTCAACCTTAGGCCCCTACTTTCTCAACCTTGACTTCTTATTCATTCCAGCTTCTACTGCCTTTGGCCCATGGAGAGATTGCTGAGGAAATGCCTTTTCTATGATGGAGGAAAAAACAATTCAATGGATAAAGACAGCTTGTTACAAGCAAGGAAAAATGATGAAATTTTAAGTGACATAATTATAATCTCTGCCATCTGTAAAGAGGTTGGCTGATCCTCTGAAGGTGTCTTTGTTTTGCTAATGGTGTGCAAAGGCATTTGGGAAAGACTGATAGGGATAAAATGCCCTTTATTGTAAGGGGAAAGAAAAATTCGGGGATAGAGCCAAGGAAGGAGAAGAGTAGGTTGATGACAAGGGCACGGTTTGAAGACCAATAGAAAAGTGTGACAACTGTCTAGGGATGAGAGATGAGAAAGATTTCCCAAGATTTTAAAGAAAAGTATGCTGTAACTCCATTTTTCATCTTTTCAAGAAAATAGCAGTAAAACTAGTGTACTTATCTGTGTCTTGGAAGTCTTGTTGGGACTTTTGAACCTCGGAGCTTTATAAAGCTTGGTTCAGGGAATAAACAGAATGAGAGCTGGGAGAGCAAAGGAAGCTCAGGTTCAAACCCATCCAAGAAGTTTTCAGTAGTTTCCAGGGTCAAGAAACAGAATGCTCTTGCTGAGCAAGAATTGTGTTTATGTCCCTGAGCTCTGGTGGCCTAGTGGTAAGAAGTTGCACTGCAATCCCGAAAGAATGTGTTTCGAATCCTCCAGTATTTGTTCTGTGGAACAAAGATGTACAATCTCCTCTCGTGCGTCAAACTACAAAAGGAGAACCAATAAGCTGTAGAATTGTAACGGTGTGAGGAGCAGGGAGAGGCTAACCCTCAGCCTGTTGGATCAAAGGACTTTGCCGAGGTGGAAACTGTTAACCTCAAGGTAGAGATGAAAAGTGTGTCCTGTGTACGGGTTAGGCGCAGCGCTGCTAAGCAAATGGCTGGTGATTTCTATCAATCTGCCAAGCAGCGACATAGAAAAAAACCTCTGAAGATTTCTTCCCTTAAAGACTCATCTCAATTTATTGCCAGTCGAGTTGCAACCAACTCACAGCAGACCCTCTGTTTGGGGTTTCCGAGGCTGTAAACTGCACGGGAGAAGACTGTCCTTATTTTTCCAGCAGAGTTGCTGGTGAACTGGAAATTCCAGAGAAAGGCTAACCTTTGGGTTAGCAGCCCCAACTTCCTAAACGGACTAGTTAGTATGGTCTAGAAAAATCCTATAGGCATTTCTGCGCTGTCTTATGAGGTCGCTATCAATCGCAATCGCATCAAGGGCACCCAACAAGGGAAGCGAAGAAATCAGGATCTGATGGTGACATCATCCAGACCCGATGGCAGGTCGTGGCCAAGATGCCCTAATTCCCACTCTCGCGGCAGTTGCCACAGACCCACTCGTAGAACCCGGAGTGACAAGTAGCAGGACCTCCCCCTGGCTTCCCGGACGCTAATTCTGTCTGTCAATCTTCCAATCCAGCTTCCAGCCACGCCCCACTTCCGGGTTATGCCCCACCCACTCACGAGCACTTCCGGTTCAGGTGGCGCGGTCAGTCTCTGTCGCGAGGACCTTCGTGGATTCTGGGAGTAGCCTTTTGGTTCGAAGACACCTGGTTTACGTGGCAGTGCGCTTTTATCCTTTGGATCACTATCGAGCGTGCCTATGGCCATTTCCTTCGAAGTCCCGATTCCCAGGATGGAGGGTGACGTCACCTCCGGAGGCCAGATGTGAGCAGGTGCGGGCGCACCGGCGCCGCTTAGTGGAGGGGAGGGGTCAAAGCCTGCCTTCTCGTTATTTGGAAATTTTGTTTGGCGCTTCCCAGAGTTTAGGAAAGACTGTTTTGAGCATAGAATTGTCAAGTTTGGAAGATAAAAATACAGATCATCTAGTTAAATTTGAATTTCAGATAAAAACGGGGCTTTTTTAGTGTAATCATGTCCCAACTATTACGTGGATCACTGAAACAGACCCCCTTGCCTAACTCATGGTGGTACTTTTATAGTTGCTTTGTAGAACTCCATAAATTGTACTTTTCATGTCATCTGTAAGATATCCAATTGCCAGCCCTTTGTTCCACAGCAAAGATTGTCCATCTTTGGCCGCCAAAGCAACTATTGGAGGATTCCCGTGTTTTCTGTGGATTTGAACTGCTGACCTTAAGGTCAAGTGCAGACCATTTGTGGCACTCAGGGGCCAACTTAGAAACGTACACTAAAAAGAAAATATCACTCATTTAAATTCACATTTAGCTTCGAGTTCTGTGTTTTATTTTACCTGCTTAGCTCCGGCTTCTATCAAAGCCAAGTGCTGCTAGATATTAAGACTCCTTTAACATCAAGTCCAATAGACAAGTGCCAGTGGTCCCCTAACAAAAGCTGGGCTTCCTTTCCAGAGTCCTATGTCCATGCCCTCTTCTCCCTTTTACAGGAGAGAAAGCTGTTCAGGCTGAATGGCTCAGGGCTGGACATTGCCAGATTGTTTGGATGTGAGATAAACTGGTGTTCAGAGTTCAGGTTTTCAGTGTTAGAGTTGACGGTGCTGCCAAGTCCTGGGACATCAGGGGATCTCACCCCTCTTGTTTTGCAGATGAGGCTCATCCACTTGGCAGAGCTGGAATCCTGACCCACGATTGCTGAGATAGTCGGCATGAGCACTTTTTGGGATATTTCCTAAAGTAGATGCCTTCTTGCAGACAAACTCTTTGGGGAATCACTTTCCCTAAATGCTTCTGCAGTCTCCTGACCTTCACCTTAAAGTTTCTTTAGCTTTTACAGTGCCCAGTGGGGGAAGTGGCTATTCGGATTCAACTATGGGAGCCTGGCTTCAGTCACTGGCCTCTTAGCACAGTTGGTGGTGTGACCCAGGACTTGTTTTGTTATCTCAGAACCAAGAGGGTGTTCTTGGCAGGAGTAGGCTTGGCCAGCTCTGTGGGTGGAAGGGCGTCCTTCCCCGTCCTGCAGATTGAGCCCCATGGCATGATGCCTTGGGACCTCTCTAAGGTTCTGTCCCGAGCCAGGTTTTGCTACTTCTGATTTGAACCTGAATTCTTGCTGGAGCGGCCCTGAGCCCTGAGGTTTCTCAGGCAGCCCGCTCTGAGGATGTGCTTTTGGACTGGCCTGGAGAGCTTGCAGCCACCCCTCAGGGACCTTGTTCTTCCCAGGTGCCCCAGCTCAGTCCCCTAAGCGAATGAAATAAAGCAGGCTGGAGGTCAGCGGGCTCAGGGTCAGTTGGTGGGACAACCAACAGTTTTCTGGCAACAGATATGCAAAGGAGCAAGGCTGGAGTGCCAAAAAGGGGTGTACAGCTGCTGAGTGAGGGTTCAGACGTGTAGGGGGTGGGCACGGGGCAGGGCGGGAGGCCACTGATTGGAGACTCTCCCTCTGTGAATGATTAACACAGCCACAGGGGTGACCTAGGAGGAGGGCTTAGCTAACAGACCTTTGGACTTGGACAGAGTGTCTAGAAGGCCAGCGTGTGGTCCGCAGAAGAGGAGGACATGGCAGGGTGGCACGGCTGGGCCTTGAGGACTACAGTGCTATCAGGCAGCCAGGGGCTTCGGGAAGTCTCTTTGCCCTGACAGATGGCTCATTCCTACAGCAGCTACTGTGGGGTCCACCAGTCTTGAGCCGTCAGAGACTTGGCTGTTGGGGGGTCTCCAGTCCCTGACCTTGCAGGTCCTCACAAGTAATTTCTTCCCACACGACAGCCATGGATGCCAGGTGGTGCTAAGAGCAGTGGGGCATGGCTGCAGCTCTGCACGTCCTGCCCCACCTGGCCAGAGCCCCCTCGAAGAACCTGCTCCCCTGGGGGCGCCCAGTGGCCCGGCTGGCCAGCAGCATGACCCTGCCCGAGCAGGCATGGAGACTGTTTGAGAGCGCAGTGAGTGCGGTGCAGCCGGGCCCCATGCTGCACCGGGCTCTGGCCTTGGACCCCAGCGGCAAGCAGCTGAAGGTGCGGGACCGGAGCTTCCAGCTTCGGAACAACCTGTACCTGGTGGGCTTCGGCAAGGCCGTGCTGGGCATGGCGGCGGCTGCGGAGGAGCTGCTGAGCCGGCATCTTGTGCAGGGCGTTATCAGCATCCCCAGGGGCATCCGTGCTGCTGTGGAGCATGCTGGCAAGCGGTAAGGGATCCTGGGGGGCTGCTCCTTCCTCTCCACCTGGGGGGGAACCGGGGCCCAGACACAGGCTAGATCAGTTCCCTTTTTTCTTGGCTCCAGGATGGGCGTCAGTAGGCATCCTTGTTCACATTCCTTTACCTGAGCAGCTAGGAAGTCAGGTATGGGGGGGCGGGGAGGAAAGGTGCTAGAAGCCTCTGGTATCTTCACACACTCCCCCTTTCCTCTTTGTTATCCTCCCTGCCCAGGGAGATGCTGCTGAAACCTCATAGTCGTGTCCAGGTATTTGAGGGCGCCCAGGACAACCTGCCAGACCGAGATGCATTGCGGGCTGCATTGGCCATCCAGCAGCTGGCCGAGGGGCTCACGGCTGATGACCTGCTCCTCGTGCTCATCTCAGGTGCGGTGCCAGATACGCTCAAGGGGACTCCAGATGTCAGGCGTGGGAGGGACCATGGGGTCTGAGCCCCCAGGTCACAGGGCAGAGTTGGGGAGCAAGGGATGCTGGCTCCTGTGAAACCCTGGATCAACTGTCCAGCCTCCTCTAAAGTCCTCCCTGAGGAGGATTTTGTTAGGTGGTAGTGAGAGGGCACGTGGGGAACTCTTAGTGCCGAGGCTCCCTGGGAAAAGTCACAACTATTGAAGTAACCTGCCTTCATGTCCACCTGGAGCTGGAATCCAGGTCTTCAACTCTCATGGAACCTTCTCCTTGGTCCTCTGCTCTCCTTTAGCTCTACTTCTGCTCTAGAGCCCTTAAAGAATATCTCCCCGAGTGGCTGCAGGGACCTAGGGCACCTCAAGGCAGGGGACTCGCAGGTGCCCAGGGTGGGCTGTGACCGCGTGCACTTTCTCGCATGTCCACACGGGGGCGCCAAGAGCGCACCTTAACAGCACCTGCTCAGTGAGGCCCGCACGCTGCTGACTTCACATGCTTTTTCTGGAGTGCTTGCGTGGGTACCTGGGTCACTGTCCCTTTTCTCTCTTTCTGCACCCTTTCTCCTCAGCCCTAATGCCCTCACCATCCTTGCAGGGGGTGGCTCAGCCCTACTGCCGGCCCCCATCCCACCTGTCACCCTCGAGGAGAAGCAGACGCTTACCAAGCTGCTGGCTGCCCGTGGAGCCACCATCCAGGAGCTGAACACCATCCGAAAGGCCCTGTCCCAGCTCAAAGGCGGGGGGCTGGCTCAGGCTGCATACCCGGCCCAGGTACATGAGTCCTTTCGTGGCCAGCTAGCCCCAGGCTGACGGGACCACGTCCACGAAGGAGGCAGCAATCTAGAGCATCCTGCAGATGGGCAGGAGCTGGTGTGGGAGTCTGTGGGCCAGCTGGGTGAAGCCATGGGAGGGACCCCAGATATGGTGAGGGAGGGTCTGCATGGCCAGGTGTCTGAGAGAGAGAGAAAAAGCTTAGAAATGGCCAGGGAAGTGGGTGGCACAGGGACAAGTGGACACACGGGAAGCTCTGGAGCAAGGGGACTGAGCTGTGACCCTTGCCCAGGTGGTGAGCCTGATTCTGTCCGACGTGGTGGGGGACCCCGTGGAGGTGATCGCCAGTGGCCCCACCGTGGCCAGTGGCCATAACGTGCAAGACTGCCTGCACATTCTCAACCACTACGGCCTCCGAGCTGCCCTGCCGCGCTCCGTGAAGACCGTGCTGGCCCGGGCCGACTCCAATCCCCACGGGCCGCACTCCTGTGGCCACGTCCTCAATGTGATCATCGGCTCCAACATGCTGGCGCTGGCCGAGGCCCAGCGACAGGCTGAGGCCCTGGGCTACCGGGCAGTGGTGCTGAGTGCGGCCATGCAGGGTGACGTGAGGAGTGTGGCGCGGTTCTATGGGCTTCTGGCCCGAGTAGCTGGGACCCGCCTCACCCCGCCAGGGCCTGGGACCCCTGGGGAGGAGGAAGCTGAACTGCACAGACTGGCAGCTGAGCTCCAGCTTCCAGACTTGCAGCTGCAGGAGGCTCTGGAGGCTGTGGGGGCTGCCCAGGGGCCTGTCTGCCTGCTGGCTGGTGGCGAGCCCACAGTAAAGCTGCAGGGCTCAGGCAGGGGTGGCCGGAACCAGGAGCTGGCCCTGCGAGTTGGAGCAGAGCTGGGACTGCAGTCACCGAGGCCTGTTGACGTGCTGTTTCTGAGCGGTGGCACTGATGGGCAGGATGGACCCACAGACGCTGCTGGGGCCTGGGTCACATCTGAGCTCAGCTGCCAGGCCACTGCTGAGGGGCTGGATGTGGCCTCCTTCCTAGCCCACAACGACTCACATACCTTCTTCTGCCGCCTGCAGGGTGGGGCACACCTGCTGTACACGGGGCTGACCGGCACCAATGTCATGGATGTCCACCTTCTGTTCCTGCGGCCAAGGTGATGGCCCGGGTCAGGCTTAGGAAGCCCAGAGGGGGCCAACAAGGGCGGCATCCTGGGAAGATGGGGCTGGTCCCCGGGGCCTCTCCAGGTGAAGGTCTCTCCTTATTTGGCCCTGGCTGTGTGGGTGGCCCTCCCACCTCGTACCAGAGCCCGTCTGCTCCTGGCAGGTGGGGTTATCCTCCACTCCTCTCTGCAAGGCAGCAGGCACCTTGAGGATGAGGACCACCCCTTTGAACAGCTCACTGTCCCCATATTTTCTCCCTGAGACCTTCGCCAGGCCTCTGCCTGTGTTTTCTGTGGAATGCAGCAAGGAAGTCTTTGAGAATAAAAAGGACCATGCGGTGGATTCTCCGGGCCTCTTTTCTCAGAGCTGCCCAGCAGGGGAGCCCTGGGGATAGACTGAAGGGGGAGGTGGAGAACTGTAGGCACAGTGCCAGAACCTGACAGGACTCCCCATCTCCTCTCCTTGCTGGACGTGCTCAGGTCTTGTCCACCTCACCCTGCGTCCTGCCTCTCTGGCCTGTCTGGGTTGAGCTGGGTGACCAGCACCTTCACTGTGGGTGAGCAGAGACTCCAGGAGGAGGACTGAGGGCCAAGGATGGCGGCCCTGGGGTCCATGAGGAGTGGTCACCCGTCTAGCCATAACTCTTCCTATGGCATTCCGGCCAGTCTGTCCGCCGTCTGCTTCACGCTGTCACTGGTTGATGCTCATTCCTGCCCCTCAGATACGGCCCCCCTGACTTTGGACAGCTCTTCCCATAGATGGAATATTCAGCTAAGCCTCCCAGTCGTCTCTCCAGGGCTTGTTCCCAGCCACAGGATACAGCTTCCTTTCCTCATGCTAGTCCTTTTTTTTTAAAAAAATTCTTTTTTTATTATTATTTTTGTGTGTGTGTACCTTCAAATCAGATCTGACTGGTACAGGAGGAGATTGTCCCTCCTTTCCTCAGCAGAGCATCTGGTGGATTTGAACCATGCGCCTCTGGGATTGTAGTTGCAGCTCCTTGCCACTAGGCCACCAGAGCTCCCCTCATGCTAGTCCTTTTTGCAGGCAAAACATCTCCGCTTCCCTCAGTGCTCCTGCGGACAATCTGAGACCTTGTGCCAGTTTGACAGGGCTGTGGTACCGTAGCCCCAACAGTGATGGGGTCCCTCGGCCCTGCTCCCCCCCTTGTCATAGCTGGCTGGGGCAAAGGGGAACTGAGGATGGCTCCCTTGGCCTGGCTAACAGTCTGGGATGGGAGAAGAGGGGACCCTGTCCTGACGCCCCTCAGAGCCCTTGTTCAGAATGAGAGCCCTCTGCTGGCTGCCCCCTCCGCTGGCTGCCCCCGCCGTGCGCCACGGCTCCAATCCCTATATGAGTGAGCAGCAGAATCACATAGGAATAAAAAGCCATAGAGAACAGCGAGGCCTGAGACTGCTTCTGTGGGACCCTCCTCCGGCCCTGCCTGCCCCCTCCCCTGAGAGTGTTGACAGGTCCTGGCCAGTGCTGGCCCCGCCCCCTGGGAGCGGCCTTCTTCCCCACTTGGCAGCGGACAGCCTTGAGCGCAGGTGGTTTGAGACCTGGGGCCCGACTCACGAAGGGCAGGCTGGGGATTGGGAGGAAGGGGGCATGAAAGGTAGATTCTGGGGACCAGGGCATGTAAAGGAGGGGGAACCTGTACCTTGTGCTGCAGGGGTGCCCCTTCCTTCTGCCCAGGCAATGAGGTTCCTCCTTGTCAGGACATGGTCAGGGTCCCGCCCGCACTGTGCCCTCTGCTCTTCTGGCTGCCTGTCCCTGCCCGCTCCTTGTCACAGTCCTTGCCCTTGGAGGAGTGGATGTTGGCACTGGGAGCCAAATCCTAGGCAAGAGCAGGGGAAGAGAGCAGAGGCTCCTGTCCCTGCGTCCTCGGTGTGTGAACGTGTGGCCCTCGATGTGGGTGAAGTGCTGAGAGGGGAGGCACCCTGCCGCAGTCAGGGCTACAGGGGGCTACTCCCAGCCCCACGTGCTCACAACACGGGGCTTGCTGTCTCTGCTGGCCACCATCCTCTCTACCGGCTGGGTCCTGGGCTCTGAGTGGAGCTTGCTCACTGGAGGAGCCTCTCGCTCCCTTTTAATCTCTTGTGGGGGTGATGAGTCCAGGGGCTGGGCTAGGCTCTTAGATGAGATAGCAGCTCAAGATCTAGTCACTCAGGGAGAATGGAGCTGCTGTAGTCTAGATAAGACAGGAATCCGGCATGGGGAGCATGCAACAGGACTCATTCTCCATCCATAAATGCCAGTTACAGGCCATTAATATGTTTTCCCCACTGGGCTCTACGCTGCCTCTCTCGCCTGGACCAGGTTCCTATGGCCCATGCCCCCACCTCATCCCCACCCCTCAATCTTTTCCTGGTGGCTTTAGCCAAGAAGCGTGCCTGTCCTGGGTGCTGGCACTGAAGGAGCACCCTCAGCACAGCTGGGTAAGAACTAAACGACACCTTAGCTTCTAGAGGTACGTCCTCCCCACTCCCACCTGGGCTGGAAGAACCTGGGGCTCAGGTGAGCGGGCTTCTCCAGGACTCTGATGCTGGCAGAACTGGGCGGGGCACAGGCTGGGGGGATGCCTCTCCACACACCTGCTTCCCAGGACACAGTCCTTCAGCCTGAGACCCCCACCCCATCCTGGCTGAGCTGACCCATCCCAGTCTGTTGGGTGCTAGAAGCTCACTCCCCCGGGGTCAGGATCCCGCCACCTTGTCAGTGCTGCACCTCACGTACGAATGCTCACAGGGGGCCCCCAGTGAAAGCTGACTGACTGAGCAAACTCCAACTGCATACTCACCCACCTCCTGGAAACCTCCTAGGCTGCTATAGGCTCACAGACCCTCATTCATTCTACATCTGAGAATAGCAGTCTGCTCATTTCCCCCTCCTTGTCTTATTGTTGGAGGGACAGAAAGGGAAGGTGGCTTGCCTGAGGCTACACAGCAAGTCAGCTGTAGAGTCAAGATGAAATTCTGAACTGGCCTCTGTCCGTCTTCTGCCCACCTCCTAAGCCTCAGAGGCTCTGGGGCCCAGCAGAGGCTCAGCCACCCTGGGAGTTACTCCCTCTGGGCTGGAGTTGAGGACAGAACCACACCTAGTCTCTAGAAACCCATAAAGCAGATGTGTGGGTCCTATCTGGTGGCCTAGTGGGTAGGGAAGTGCACTCCCAACCCAAAGGCACAGGGTTCAAATCCACCAGCTGATCCATAGGGGGAGGATGGGCAGTCTTCTTCCATGTGATTTACAGCCTTTGAAAACCCACTGGAGGGTCATCTATGAGTTGGTTCCAATTCAGTGGCACGTGATACCGATATGTGCAATTAATTGGAAGGAGTGTGATCATACAGTGGTTAGATGCTTGGCCATTAACCAAAGAGTTAAGGGTTTGAACCCACAGGAAGCGATAGGGGCCTAGTGGCAAGGAGCTACACTGCTAATCCTGAAAGCAACACGGTTCAAATCCACCAGCTGCTCCATAGGAGAAAGATAAGCAATCTCTTCCCATGAGATTTACTGCCTCTGAAAACCTCTGAAGGGTTCAGTTCTGCCTCAATAGTACATAACAATAACAGCAACAACAACGATTTCCTTGTAGGAAAAATATTTAGAAAGTTTTTTTGGTAAATATTTACACTCAGTAAACCTACGAGGAAATTCTAACCTGTCCTATAGGTTTGTATTGTTTTTAGGTGCCATCAAATTGAATATAACTCAGAGTGACCCTGTGAACAACAGATCTGAACTCTGTCCTGTCCTGAGCCATCCTCACCATCTCTGACATACCTGAGCCCATTGCTGCGGTCACTGTGTCAATCCATCTTGCTGAGGGTCTGCCGCTAAGCTTTGGAAATGACTCAGTCACATGAGTTATATGCGATTGAGGGCTGGGCTTTTGTCTGCAATGCAAGAGGGTGTCTGCATATGTATGCACCTGTGTGAATGTGAGCATAGGGGTGCGTGGACATGAGTGTTTCAGCCCCATGGTCACCAAATGGGCCTTGAGTCATGCCCTGTCCCCTCAAGTGTGGGAACACACAGTTTAGAGGGCAGAGGGTTAGAGTGTTAAGGACATGGTGCAGCAAAGCGGCTGTAAGGCTGCCAGAGGCCACTTGTCAAGGACCCTGGCCAAGAAGGCTGGCCTTCAAGCTCACAGGAGGTTTCTGGCAGGTCTTACAGATTGAATTATGTCCCCTAGAAATACATTGTAACTGCTAACCCCTGGGCCTGTGGTGATACCTACTTCCATTGTCGTCTCTCTTCTGTTAACACTATTTGTTGAGACAAAGAAGAGCAAACATGGGATAAGACAGGTGCCAAGGCATGGGGATCTTCACAGAATCAGGGAGAAGCTCATCAGCGGCAAGACCATTGCTCCAGAGCCAACAAAGAGAGGAAGGCTTTCCTTAGAGGCAGCGCCCTGCATTCATACCTTTAACCTCCTAAACTGAGAAAATACTTTTATTTATTCAAGCCACCCGTTTGTGGTATTTATGTTCTGGCAGCACTAGATAAACGAAGACAGAATTTGATATGTAGAGGTGTGGTGCTGCTCTAACAAAAAGCTACAATACGGAAGGGGCTTTGAAATTGGGGAACAGGTAAAGACTAGAAGAGTTTTATAGCACCTAATAGTAAAAGCTCTGGTGGTCTAGTGGCAAGAAGCTGTGTTGCAGTCTCAAAAGTATGTGGTTCAAGCTCCCCAGCTACTCCACGGTGGAAGGACGGGCAGTCTCCTCCTGTACGATTAACTGCTATGGCGCAGTTCTGACTCGATGGTACACAACAATAACCATAGTAAAAGCCTTCAAGAGACTATTGGTAGAATCAGGAATGTCCAAGACAGGTCTGGCAAGGGTGTAGAAGGAAGTGGGGAGAAAGTTTCTCTATTGTCTGTGAGACAATATAGGGTTCCCACAAGAGAATGTTTCTAGCCATGTGGTCGTTAAGTTTACTTCTGGTGAAGATTCAAAATCAAAATGATGAACAAGTGATTG